AAAAATTAATCATAAAAATGATAGATTTTCGGACCGTTCAATTATTATGCATAGCTGATACTATAAATTGCTAACTTAATAAGTAAAGTTTAAACCGTGTTGAATATATCTAAATTATTTAGAGCCGATTTTAAACAAGTTTCGACTCCATTGATTAAACGTAATTGCATACAATCAAACTCGAGAGCCGAGAAGACAGATTCGAGTACTTCTTATCTCTATACCGAATTTAGATCAATATGAATTTTCTACATCTAAATTTAGATCACAGAAAAAAAAAGTATATTTTAAAGTTTATTTATCCATCCATCTTTGACCGGTCACTTTGTTTCCCGGATTTATTTATTTTTTATCCGAGTGGAGAGTTCTTGTATATAGCACTTGTTATAGTGAGATAGATGAAAACACAATTTCGAATTCTGTTTTCATTATCGGAATTCTTATTTTTTCTCCAGATGTTGTCATCTCGATATAAAGAATTCGAGAAAATCCGTGATTTTGCAGCTATCCTGACAGGTGAAAAAACATGTATCTATCAGCAACTTTATAAGAATTTTTTCTATTATTATTTTAATTGGTGAAATAATTTTGAAATATTCCGTAAAACCGAAAAGTGTATTTAATAATTAATAAAAGTACGAAAACAGTGAGAATAAACTTCGTGTCAAAAACTGATTTCTTATTATGTAATTATTCAAAATTCTAAGCTCGAAACCGACATTATTTCGTTTTGACCTTTGCATATTTTGGTTCACCAAACAGGAATTTGAACTAACGAAAAGAAAAAAATAATCTCAGAACGCCATTTTTAATTTTACGTAGTAATTTCTTTAATGGAAATCAATGTAGTTTGACCCCAATATATTTAACTATCTGAATTCAAAGAATTGTTTATAGCTAACCAATTTCTTTAATGTCTCGAGCCATAGAAGCGAGCTCAGTCATTAAATGCTGTTTCTTACAGACATCACTTAAATTATTTTATATATAAATATATATTTTTTAGGTTTTTTTCTTTTTCTGCCGATGAAAATCTATCTAGGCATAACGGCTTATGATTCTTAGAAGTCAGTCAACAGTTGTGACCACGGCCGCATCGTAACCATCATACTGTTTGCTCATAAATTTTACCTGCACACACTAGAGGAAAAGAGGTAGCAACTGTAAGGGAGGGTGGAGAACGGGGAAGTAAAGACCGTTATTAAAATGCAGATGGCCAACGGGCTAGAAGACCTGATAGTCTGATTTCCACGTCAATGTAACATGGCTGTCTTTCAACAGTTCAGGGGCCATCAATGTTTTATGGGAAAGACGGTGTGCGAACATTTGTCACTAATGCAACTCGTTAGGCCGTTTTATTACCATCGAAAATAATGCAAAATTCGCCCCCTTTATACGTTAGCTTCGAGTACGCCAAGCGATAAAGACAGCTGGTGCTAACAAAATGACGTTTTATACGACGACAGGCTAGGAGAGAGAAAATGAGAAGCTGTAATATTAATTAATTGCTTGTCTCTCTCACTCTCTCTCTCTCGCACTCTCTGTACGATGGAAGGACGCATCCTAAAACTGGCCGAGTAATTACGTCACTTCATTTAGTCCAGGAAGTGGTGAAGTCGTGTTATTGTCATACGTATGGGTCATCTGATAGGAGGAGGTGAGCCTACAGAATGTATAAGTCACTTTTGATAGGCACTTATTACATCTCTCCAAGTGGACCCTTACCCTCTTATCGTCATCAGCCAGATGGCTTGACATGTTAAGTACTTTAGCTAAAGGAGGGACGCCACCGATTCCGACTTTTTGGAAAGGACATACACATCATGAAATGTCCAAACTACGTCGTTCCGGAATTTGTGATCATCGTAGCCCTTCTTTCGCACTTCGCTTCGACGATAACTTCAGTCTTTGCCTAAGAACATAAAACGGATAGATGGATTGTACCGCTCCGAATAAAGTTAACTCCTGTCGACTCGGTCAATCAAATTCTAGGGATTAAATTGACCATTGGAAGAATCTGTACGCATCTTACAGCGGATGGCCACTCGTAGCCGTTATTAAACAGTTATAATCATTGGCTTAATTGCACCGTTAGAGGTGGGATGTCTTCGAAGAAACAACAACTGCCCAAACGGAGGATTTTGGGACTTTGATAAAGTTGTCAATCCGCTATCAAAACAAGGGCGAGAAATGGTGTGGTAGCTTCTATTCTATAAAAGCCCATTTATTCGCCTCTGTCCACAATTGTGACATTAATAAGGTTCTAGCCACGCCCCCTGGCGGGTTAAAAATTGCCACGGAATTACCACCAAGGGATCATTGGATGGATCAGAGCACCGTTTCTGATTGTACCCTGCGGCGTTGAATTTGCATAGAAATATCGTCGGACTCCTCTTACCACTCTCTCTTCCTCCCCTTCGGTCGTTCATTTACCTACAAACAGCGAAATGGAGACAAAAGAAAGTGTTGCAAATCAATTGATTGCATCTTAACGAAGCAAATTCTCCACCTCCATCGAGCTTGGATGTTTGTAATCAAGCTAATACAGAAATGGTTCGGACTGATGAACTGACTCGTTGCCAACCCGAGAAAAACTGTGTTTTAAGTTAACTAATCGACTTTTCCAAACTTTGGCAGTTTTTTCCGGCGCCAAAGATAATGAACGATCTGAAGTGCTTTGGTAATTTATAGACTTTGATCTCCAATTTGCGCGATAATTATCAATTAATCCTAATAGACTTTTATCTAGCAAATTAAATTGTCCGGTTTGCTTTGAATCTTTTGTTTCTCAAAAATGACCCGGAGCGACTACGATGGGCCCATCGTAGTCGTTCCGTATGAAGTTTAATAATTATTTTTTGGTCAAATTTGGATTCGGAATTAGACCGAGTGGACGTGGCGCGATCCATCAAATAATCGGGGCAAAGATAATGATCCCGAGGGACACCATTAAAGAGAAAAATAGAAAAAGCATCCAGTTGTCTTAGCAAACTGATTAATGGGCCAGTCACGTGACGAAACCAATCGTTCGGTGGCGCTTCGAAGCAGTCATATGTTGCCCTGGAACTGGTCAGCAATATAGTCTTGCATCGCCAGCTAGATGCTAGTTCATCATCGCAATAATGAAGTTGGTGAGTCATCCGAATCTAACGTCTGCCTCGAGCAGTCCTACTGTCATTTAGGTGCATTAATTTTCGCCCAAACCAATGACGTCAACTCCGCACTACTTATTAGTGGTGGCTGCATGGTTCATTTGACAAACAAGGTGACACACGTCGCGTAGAAAAGGGTTGTGGGAAGTTATACCGAGTCCACCCGTCAACCTCATTAGCAGCGTACCGGACAATGAGAACTATTGTCTGGTAGCTGCACCTTCCACGCCGCACCCTTCTATGTAAGTCATTATCGGGTCGAAATGACCCAACCTGATATACATGACTGTGAAAGCTTCGGGATGAAAGTTGCAAATTGAGATTACTATATGCAAATGAAAAAGTTGCCTGCCCTCTCATTTCGTTGTTTAATTACTAAAGAAGTGTCAGGAGATGAGGAATTTAATTTAATATATGATTCCCACAGGCAACAGGAATGGGATGAACAATGTTCTGTGCCTAATTATAAGGCTTGACGCTTCATTGATTTGCGTGTTTGACGTGTTGTTCATGATGTGTTCAACCAGATTTTTGCCTTTCGTAACGCCTCCTCTGTTGATCTTTTATGAAAAATGACACCATAAGGAGAGGAGAAAAAACTACATTTGATACAATTAAATGCGTGATTCCAGTCGGAAATATGCGATTAATAAAAATGTATATTGCACGTTTATTTTTGAAAACGTCTAAATCCGACTCCATTCGAATTTTTTTTGAAAAAAACAAACAAAAAAAGCATAAACACAAGAACAATTTCTAATACGATAAACAATTTCGGGAAATATAAACGTTAGCAGACATTTACTAGGAATGGAAATAAATAATATTAAATATTTTTATTGCAGATTACGGCTTTTATTGCCCTTTTAAAATTAAACCGTTGCGACTACAAATGACAATTAATATCGGACGATAGGATGACTTTTTTCTTCTATTCTTTAATGGGAGGCAATTAATGTAGGCATCATAACAAAGCCCCTATCCACAGTATCGATCGGACTATGCATATGTTATGGTTAAAAACTGATGGTGAAGTATCCACTGTGATGACGATCTGCAGGGTTTTTCGGCGTATAAAAAAGAATAAAGCAGTAGATGGAAAAACGATGTTTTGAATGCAAACTTATCTGTATTATTAATGACTGACGCGGATCTAGTGGTGAAGATCTAGCAGTTGAAAGTTTGATGAACAAATAACCGTGAGATAGAAGCTAAAATATTGAAATTGCCCATCCAATAACGAAACAATACATAAGGTTTAACAGTTTTGAATTGTTGGCTTTACCCAAATGTTTTCTTAGATCCTTTCATGCTGCATAAGACGAAATTAAATTTAGAGAAAGGATGCAGACATACTTAAGAAAATTGTATGGATGCATTATTCATATACACTTTTTGTTTCGATTTGATAGTTTTTAAAGGAAAATTATTGGATCTTACATTTAACGAAATTTAATAAATTTAAGAATGGAATAAGTCCGACTATTGATCTTTTACGGCTATATATTCTTTTTATAAAGTATAAAGAAATTAGTGAAATAATTTTTTTAACTATTAAAAATTTTTCATATCGGACTCGTACCGGTTAAATAATAAAAGGACGTATAAAATAAGCATAAGTCATTTAAAATTCATTCATTTATTTATAAATTGTTAATAAAATACTACAGATATCGTATTATGAAGAACAAAGTACGACATTCGACAGTACGCGGCCGATTGACGGGACATTGATAACTGTTATTTACAAAAATAAATAGACAAGAATTTGTCACAAATCATCCCCAAGAAAGTAATTCTATTAAAAACCAGATGGCGCCACTAGTCCACTATGGATCCATCCCAACCTTTTTTTTTGTATTCTATTTTTTTTTTAGTCGATAAACGTGCTCGTGCTATAGTGAAGGAGAGGAGAGCGAGTTTTAAAAAATCGATATTAAAGCAGCTGAGGGAACAGGTAAGAGCCAGCAGAGCTTGGAGGTTTTTTTTCCCTTTATCTCTGACGGTACGCGCAGGAAGGAGGGGGAGGAAAACCTCTCTCTAAGCCTGAACTATAATTTAGAGTGAAAAAATTACGGAAAAACCGTCGAAAGATGAAAAAGGAGATTTAGCATACGTTTTGAAAAATCCCCGCTTTACAAGAACAGTAAGAGTAGACGTAGATATATATAAATGGCATTTCCACACAAGAATGGGGAGAAGGTAGATAGATCATTGAGCTTACACGGTACAGAAAATTCCATTCGTTGTTCTACTAGAGTGGACGGGAATCGTATTTTTTTTTTTTTAAATAGTGTATAATAGTAAGCACTTCTTGCACACTAACGTAATGAGATAAAGTCGTTGCTATAGAAACTAGTTCCGTGAAGTTTTATTCTTCAGAATGGACGGCGATGTGGTCAAGAGACCGAAGCATCTCAATCGACACACTAATATTGGAAGAAGTAATTATGGTTGTAACTTGCACCAGCTGTTATTGAATGACAAAACTGTTCCGTTTGGAAGCGAAAAATAACCTATTCTTTCGCTTGTATATTACAATAGAAGAATTTTTATATGATTATTAGAAATGATTCCGATATCGAACGCTGAAAAATCGTTTACTATTAAGAAAAAAATATGAAAATCGTGCATCATCATCTTCGATAAATCCACCATCTCCCAAGCTGCTGACTTAACTATAATTTTCATGCAAGAAAAGATACAAAAATTGAAATCGGGAATGGGCTCATAAATATTATGAAGGTTTATTGATTGTTCTTTATTATAATGATTATCAGACTAAATTATATGTTTTTCCCCCCTTTGCATTTTACAATTTACATCAAAACTCTCGTCGTTATTAGTTTTCAATGCAAACTCGAGAGAGAGAGATTCGTCCTTTAAAAAACACCTGAAAATAAAATTCATTCAATAAATTAATCTAGAAAAGTAATTGTTCTCGGAGTTTCGTTCTCCGTGATTAAAACTAAGAAGTGGCAAAATAAAAGTCATTTTAAACGAGACATTTCGAATAAAAAGTGTAGAATTGAAGATTGTGAATCCATGTGGATCCAGGTAAAGAACCATCAATCTCGACAGGTTCCATTCATCAGCCAAAAGTTAAGTCGATCGAAAGAAGACAAAAGTTCAGAGAACTGATGCTTTGGTAACTGCCATCAATGAAAGTACTACTCTCTCGAATTACAAATGCAACTTTTTCACTAAAAAGAAGATATTTTGGAAACACTATTAAGTTATTCCGAAACTGCAAATTTATAGTCGAAAAGTAATTCCCAAATATATTAAAATTTTCAATAATGGGTTTGCATTAGTCGATCATTTTAGCAAGACACGAATGTCTAAAGGCGAAAACACATTTACAGGGGCCCTGTAATTTCACGTGACTACCGGTCCAAATGTCCTGGAAGTGATGTCACGTTTCGCGTCGGGCTAAAGATGTAGGAAATGACGCCTTGATACCATGGCAACCCGCTAAACCGGACATCAGTCACGTGACGACAACAAAGAACACGTGTCCTGTCTTTCCTGCCAATACTGTAAATGTTTAAATAGGATCGGTAACCAACATCAACAAATCATTAGACGAATAAAAAAAACTAAGTCGAATTCTAATATTTAAGTTTGTAACCAATCTCGGTTACACGCTCTCTTGTCTTTTTTAGCTACAAATATACTTTATTCAAGATGCAATATTAAAGGGATATATTCGGAAAATTGGTAAAATATGTAAATTTTATGTCAATGGTGCAAGAAAGATTATGTTAACAGATGTTCGGGTTAAACGTATTACTCTTTTTATTCTTCCATCTTTTTGTTTCGTCATACGAACCACGTTTAGCGACGGAAATACATATCTGTTAAAATGCAAAATCGTTTATGTAGAAACATTGTATTTAAATTTTAAATAACAAAAAAAAAACAATTAGGCAGATTTAAATCGATTCCATCGTAGTAAATTACTCTTTATTAATGCATTTTGTATTAAATTCTAGTAATTAACTACGGGCAAAAATATGCATTTCGTCATTTGGAAAATTATCTTTTCAGCGATCTCTTTGATCTAACCATCTCAATCAGATTGGCAGAAGTGCTGTTAGGTGATCACGTGTCACTAGCAGAGAACAAGTCCTTCTGTTGTCAACCACTTGAAGCAAGTGTGGATGGTCCGTGACTCAAATGTTAAGAGATAGAAAAACCTTTTCCATTGATGGCGAGAAGAAAGAAAAATAAAAAACAATCGTTTCGAATGACTAATTAAGGTCAATTTATTAATCCAATTATGTAATTTAATTTCGATTTATGTGATATTTAAAGTTGCATTCAAGATATAAAAAAATATTTTAAAATAATTTTTTCTAAGAAGCCTCCATTAGACTGTAAATGAACCATATTGTTACCGTACAACGTAACGACGCTATTTGTCTATCTTGAAAAGCCGACCAATTTACAATACAACTAATTTAATGAAACGATCCTGGAACACATCCTCCTCGCATCTTTTTTCTCCCTAATACTACAGCTAAAACATATAAAATTCTAGACAAAAATATATCTATAAAATAGCAACAAACTGAAAGTTTCGATAAATTATTCTTTATCGAAAAAATTAATGAAAAAAATATAAGATTTAAATAATTCAGACTGTTTGAATTTATCATTTAGTTCAATAATATGGATTTCCTCAATAACCTAGAAAATAATCGGTCAATACATAGACATGTGGCCTATGCGTGTATCAGATATAAACTGATAATGCTACTTTTATAGCTATTTAAATATGAGACTTTTTATATTTCGATGAAATTAATATTAATTGCGAAATATTACGATCGTAATATATCGATTTAAAGCGAACGATCAATCGAAAAATATGATAAAAGCAACGATAAAAGCATCTCTATCCATCTTTACTGGAACTCGCTCCATTTATTATTAGTTTCAATTCATAAAAACAAAATGTAAATTCTGCTTAAAGTTCGGAAAATAGAATTTCTCGTGGTTGAAAGTGAAGCGAATCATCTGCTAATGAAATTTTAATAGTTTGAGATAAGAATTTAAATTTTTTAACCAGACTCTTTGAATATTTAAAAAGCAAACAAAAGCTATCAACCAGGTAATTCTAATTAAATTTAACTTCTCGGCAATACGTTCGAGAAAAAGTAATGAATGCTCTCTAAAACTCTCAAATCGGTTCAAACTACGTTAACTATTAAAAATTATCTCGGGAGAGCGACGAAGATTTATCAAAATCAAATTTTTTCGTCGCTTCGGAGAAAATTAGAAAAAAAATCATAAATCGTTAAAAAACACTAAGCCGGAATTACTCTTTGAATAGAGATTTATTAATTATGTAAAGAAATTAAAAACTTTGGCAGGGTGAAAGAGACTCGAAAAAAATCTGTGCTTAAGAGTTAAGGATAGTCGTCGCTGCCTATTTAATTGCCAAGTTAAGGTATGATAGATCGGCCTTTTGAAAGACAATAGATGCCTTCTATCATAAACCTCATCTCTCATCAACTTTCATCTGGTACCAAAAGTCTAGCAGATATATCCTCATCCATCAAATGCCATACACTGCTAACTCTTATGGTTTCCTTTCAATAATAAAAAGAAAAAAAAAAACTGTTGCATATAGACTATCAACATATCCACCAGTTAAAACAAGCGCGGTACCTGCAATTTGCGACCGAAACCCCCAACAAATTTAGCGAATTAAATTGAAATATCAAAAGCTTCTTCTTAATGAGGATGTGGATCAATGTTCTTTCTTACAAGCGAAAGAATTACCGAAGCGTATATTATAACTGTCTGTGGACTGCCGGCTATAGACTGCTGTCAACTCCGTCGCGACCAATTTATCTATTGACCATTATCGCGAATGGAGAAAATGGACATCCGGATATGACGTCACCGGAAGCGCGATAAAAACAAGCTCATAAACGAAGGAAGATAATTAAAGAATTTTTTATGACTCGGACAATTAACGACTTCTGCGGCAATTTGCAGTGAATCAATCGTGCGGAAATTATGAAAAAGGCTCTTTTCAGCATATTGCCATACTATCCGGACACAGATGTACTGTACACTACACCTTTCCAGTCTCGTTCATCACACGCTTATAGACTATTAAAATCTGCTACATTATATAGACTGTGCCGCATCTAATTATGTTTTTTTTTCCCTTCATTTTAATTTGAAAAACATCTTAAAAATTCAAAAATTTTAACTAAAAAATTAATATTAAAATATTTTAAGTCGAAAACTTCATCATAAAAATTTAGTAATAATTTAAATCTATAAAGCATCTTTGGATCTAAAAAAGTGAAAAATAAAAAAAAAAGCCACTCCAGCAATATTAGAAAAAAAATATCCGATAATTACTTCGATAAAAAGCGGGAGGAGAATTAACGTGGAATTAAGTATTGGTTTTATAAATTTTTTAATCATCCTCGAGTACGATTTTGCTCTCCCAGGAGACCTAAAAGCCTCATTCGGGCATTAAATAAATTAATTTTCTTCTAACCGACCAACTGTAAGAGTACTTGAGAGTTGGTGATTTATAACTGTTTGGCTTTGGAGACAGTTGGTCGTAGTGTTTAATGGCTTTTGATGCATACTGCTGTCTTTGTGTGTTTCGATTGAAAGAAAGAGGAGACAGAAGAAAAAAACAACAAAAGAGAAGGCTGCTATAGGAGGCGGTGAAAGGATGGCCACTTAGGGTTTATCTGTCCATTGTTTTTGATGGGGGAGTTGGTTGTCCGGCTAATGGCTTGTCTACACGTTTATAGTCGACCGCTTACAGCTAATCAATCAATCAATAAAGCTAGGTCTTTCGACCGGTTTTCTAATTTCCCGTCAGTTGCCAGTGTGTGACAAGATTTTGCTTTTATAAAGTGCATAATTTTCTCCAGTTCTTTAAAATAATAATCGACATTAACCGCTTCGTATCGAACCGAACGGATTTTTCCCGCTTACAATTAGTCAATTTGAATCGGAATCAGTTAGGAAAGCAATGCCTCTTTGTTTTAGTTTAAAAAAAAAGCCTCTCATACTCGAGCATAGTAAAACAAGACGGATTGGGCACAGAGGGCTTTTATATTCTCTAACACCGCGAAAAATGCCCACTATCCATTCGTCTATAACAGAAGTAATGCTTGGTTTGGGGAATGGGGACCAGAAGCAACTTGGCTCAGGACTATTGATGAAGAGACATGACTCAAATAACGTCAAATACTGTGGTTATTTAAAGTCGCTTGGGATTTTTAAAATCTACACCGTAGGATTTGCATGAAACAAATATATGTTAAGGAATTGATGGATAAGATCCCATGCTGCAAAATAAACCAACCTTTTCCGAGTATCAAAATACATCAAGCTACAATTCCTTATTTTTCTTTTTGTAAAATAGCGTTACAGACTATAGCACGAAACTTGATACGATGCTTAATGGGCTCAGTATTTTCTACGTCGTCTCCATGATCGATAAAATCGGAAAGATTTTTTCTTTAATACTTTCTAAAGAATTAATTTTTTTATACGTTGAAATATTAAATACAAATATTGGGAGTTTCGATTTAAATATCGTAGCGTATTTTTTTTTTCGATAAAATAAACGTTTGAGAAAAATGTCAACATTATCGGTAACGTAACGTCCAACCTTTTCACCTAACTGTTGACAACCACAACTTGTTATTGAAGTAGCAAAATAACAAGAAAAGGAGGCATCGATTGGCACACTGAGAACGAACCAATGGGATGCAACTAAACTAAGGAACTGTGACGCCATCCAATGATACAATCCTTTCTACCCATGTCATCCAATAAGCTTCTTGTAACATCTTACAACTTTAACCAACCTATGCAAATGAACAACAAATAACAAAGGCCGTTATTCTTTCATTGGTTAAAGTTCCCGATTGACAATGTTTACAATTCAATAAACGTTTACAAGAATTAAAAAACACGTTCTCTAAAACAAAAGTTATACTGAAAAAAAAATACCCGTAAAATAATTAGCAGGGATTTAACACTCCATTCTTCACAAGCAGATCGTATAAGGAGGATTTTCTCGTCCTCAAATAATTTTCGACTTTTCCTTCGGCTATCGCTGAACCACCTGCAAAATAAATAGAAAAAATTGATTGGGGAGAAAAAAAGAAACAAAATAATCCGAAAGAATCAGTATAATCAGTTTTAAATAATAATAATAATAATAATAGAGTTAAAATAAAATTTTCAAATTAATAAAAACGAAAAAAAATTATAATTTTAATATCATTTTTAGTAATAAGCATATTACAACATTAAAAATATGAGATTGTATTAAAATAGAAAAAAGTTTTAAGAATTTTACCGCAAGTTTTTCTAATAATAATAATAATTACATTTACATTAATTTAGTTTTTATGCGACGTCAAAAGTGGTGTGCGGACAAAAGCGAAATTTTTATTATCGATCTAACAAAGAAAATTAATACTCCGCACGACAGGCAAACGGGTAATTCCGCCGAACATTCAAACCGTACAAATATGTGGAATATAAGGACGATGACGTCATACGGCCGTCACGGTAGACGACAAAATGGATCAAAGAAAGCTCCCCATTGGCTCGGGGCTATGATATCTTTTGTGACAATGGAACGACATGATTAATTCCCCGAGCTTGACAATCGCCTTGGGGCGATGGAGTCTGTCACTCATGAGTGTCTAATTGTTCTCTAAAAACCTTTAATTACAAATGAGAGGCTGTACTTGTTCGACTCCTGCGATGGCCAAAACGAATTAGAAAAAGTGATAACTCTTAATAGAAACCAATTCTTGTTTTTCTTTGAGGAATTTTTAAAAATGGTGGCACGAGTTACCGTTAATTCGATTCTGTACAAATCTCGCAAGTTAAATTTATAATTAAATTTCGCTTGGAGATAATCGACGATAACTGATATAGTCATTAGAATGTCTATTGGTCTTATGAATTTTTATATTATCGAAAAACAATTATTGTCCGACTATCGATGAATTAGCATTGGTTGACGCATCTATTTAAACTCGACCGTTGTAATTAGAAATTACTTTACTTTTTAAATTAATTTTTACGAAGTAAAGGCGTTTTTCTATCTATTGAGTAGTTTGATAGGTTAGGAAAGAAAGGTGAGATTCGCCTATCGTAATGCTGTTTACAGAGAAAATTAAAGTAGATTCTAGCAATTTTAAATCCGAGAAACTCTAGCGTCGATCGATTTTTATCTACTGTTATACAGGTAATACGGACTAAAATACATTTTGAGGAAACAAAATCTAAAACGGTAGAAGTTGGAGTGAGACGGTCAGTCGTTAATGACGGTTTTCTCCAGACCAGATTATGGCACGGACGTCAGATAAAAGCCAATTCCCTGGAGGTAAACCTTATCATATCACCTGCACCGCTTAACTCCGTACTGCTTCTTAATATGGTGGGCGATGAACCGAAAAGAATATAATAGATCGAGCGAGTCAGCTTTCTTACAACTATATTGAATTATTTTAATATAAAAAATGATCAACTTTTCTTTTTACTTTGTTATTATTATTACGACTAAGGCTAAGTGTGAAAAATTATGCGCACCTTTTCAAACACACCTGTCGAACGCCATCAATGATATATCGTAAATGGCAAATGACGTAAAACCTAGAAGAAAAAAATTGCAACCCATTATGAATATCACCATTACAACCGTTTCATATATTACAAGCTTACACCTACTGGAAACATAGAAGCACATAGATTACGGGTTTACGGCCTTAGACGTCGATCCCTCGATCCCAAATTAAGAATATCTTCGATTATATGACCTCTTAAATTCCCTTCTTACACGTTAAATAATGGTCTATTAAATAAACTAAACCAAAACTAATAAATTTATCTCTAAATTTTCTTCTTCATCGAATTTTTAATGCAGTTATCAAATTTTAAATCATTAAAAACAAGGTCAAAGAATAAATACTTATTACAATCAATAGGCCAACCTGATAATTCAATAATTTGAATGTTTAATTAGGCAAGTAAATACAGAATGCAAAAACAAAAATCAAATTAAAAACACCTTGATGTATGTACATTAACCTACTAAAATATGCATAATAACGATTGATTAAATTTATATTAAACAAGCACGAAAGCGATTAACAGTTTCAATCTAGAAAATAAAGGAATAAATGAGTTTATATCGAAATAACGTTGATTATAAAACAGGTAACTCTCTAAAGCATTTTTATGCACATGTTTTCGGTAAATTTCTCATATACTGATTTAAATGCAAATATAAAGCTTTATTCTTAATGTTTTAAATATTTAAAATCGATTTTTCCCCCCGACTTTTGTTGTGTTCTAATTTATTTTTTAAACCTTGGTCGTAATGACACGCATTTCTCTTTTCTCAACGTGTTTCCTCTCGGCGGAAATCTATTTAACACATTATAAAATTTTATTTTGTATTATTTACAAACATTATATTCAAAGCTGCATTGTGGCATTGTATTATATTGTATCGTGTATTTATTACAGAATACTGAAACATACACCTCTACTACTATTGATTCATTCAACGAAAACACTCGCCTGTTTAAGATTAATCATTGAACGAGATAGTATAGAAGAAAAACTGTCAAAAATCGCAATATTAATATATTACCAACGGTAAATAAAAATTATATACATATGTATACAATAAATTACATTGATATATGTTACGTTAAAAATATTAAAAATTTTAATATTAAAAACAATTCGTAAGTAGACAACTCTCGGTTTTAAATGTAACTGACAAATAGAAGAATTTTTATACGGGCCTCTTTTTATATTAAAAGTCTGCATATTGGAAATACGAATAATTCTTTCGAGTTTATAATTATTGATACAGCGAAAACTTGTAATATCGATGCATTAGAAATATTTCTTAGGTGAAAATTTCTTCTTATTGATGTTACTTGATACCATTAAGTTTGGGGGGCCGAGCTTTCGAAGAAAATACCGCACGAAATAAGTGATAAATGGCGGCGCATCTACTAAGGTAAAAAAAAAGCTTATTCTGTATCAAAACAATATTAAATTTCGAGGATTCTTCGGATCCATATCATGAATCTTCGTTTCGATTTTTGACAATTCGCACCAGCGCCAAAAATTCTAAATAAATGTAACTATACGATCAATGGAATAGCAGAAACGAAAATAGATAAGCTTAAAAAAAATAAGTATTTTTACCGTACATAGATGGCGCCAGGTGGAACGAGAAAGGTAAAGTGCGGCGAAATTAATTAAAAGAAACTTGGGTTTATACGTTTCGGCTACAAACTTAAACTTTTAAAGCGCGTGGTACGGACCAAAGTAATTATTAAAGGGAGTAATAAACAGATTTAACATTCCGTTTCGAATTTCATATGCCGTGATAGAAAGGAAGGAAAATTTTGGAATTAAAGTAAGAGGAAAAAGAATTTGTATTGTACCAGTGGGAAGAAATGGACTCGAACGGGAACAACAATGCGGGGGCAGGAAACGATCGTTTCTAAATACCTTAGCAGCGGAAGAGAAGGCAGCCTGATAAATCACATCTGTCAAAAGAATGCGCGGATCACACCCCGTACCCATATAATAATCAGGGAGAATGCGTCGCTTCTCCAACCTGTATGACCCTCCTTGTCAGGAATGCAGACCATTTCGCCCGCATTCAGTCGGCCGTAGGCAAAACGCTAACAAGCATCGCACACGGAGACACCGTTCGGAGGAGAATGAGGTGATATAGGCAGGAATTCCAAAAAATCCATCTTCATAATGCGGGACTATTGATCACCAGATGTCATGCCATCTCATCAGACTAAAGATAGTCCTCTCGTTAGCCACATTGTAATCAATTTCCCGAGAGTGGACCATTTCTGATTTTTATCGATAAAATCCGACTCTTTAATTAAAACCGGATCTGCTTCCGTTCCGACGCCACGCGAATACGACCGATGTCGAAGGGGGTGCGATCGCTACAAGTAGTCGAATTCTACCTGTCTCGACAGCTGACTGTGAATAATTTACTCACAAAAGCGACAACGTCTCCATAGCGACGACCGATTGTGTAAACAGAAGCCGTCCGATGATTGAATAAACACGGAACGGTTCCGTTCGTACGACTTAATTACAAACGCTTACAAATCCGTCTTTCTTCAACAGTTCCTACAGCTTCTAATGACTGTGACATCACCGCACCTCGCTCTCCCCACCCCTTCACTTAATTGCTTCTTCGACGACTGATATTTTTATCTACGTTCGAGACTTAGATAACATTACTTTTTTTGTTTGACCGAGAACAATGAATTGTGTCGGGCGCTATAGAAACAAAGAACTAAAAGGAGATGGGGAAAAAATGTTTAAACGAAAAGACAAGCCTACAGAGGCAATTTAAAGGCGTTTCCTTTCCAGTAGAGCCTTTTATCTCGCTGCGACAGCAGATAGAAGAAAACAAACAGTGTGCTTTCTAGAGAGAGAGAGACGAAAAAAAAGCATACAATAAAAGCGTTGCCAAGGTATTGGCAAATAGGAAACGTGTTAATTCGCAAGCGAGATACGAACTTGCATCTTCAACACGGGAAAACTTCTTGGTCGTGTGCAAGCAATTGAATAGAGGCAAGTAGTGGTCGATTGGGTTTAACCACAGTAGTGGTCAGCTAGAGGTCATTTGGGAACCATCTTCAACCTCCGTAATCACCCTTTTATCCGCTCCCCTGCCATAGATGCGAACTGCCCGTTCAGACACAATCAATTGATGCCAGTATTTAATTACCGAACTGATCCGATTAAACGAAAAAAATTCTCACGCTTCGCTTAACAATAATTTTAGTTTAAGCCAGGTAGGATCATGCAAGGTTTATTATTAAAAAAATATTAACTTTACTGTTTTTTCACTAAAATGTCGATTTTAATCGTGCGAAAATTCTCTAAGAGATGTAGGCTTACGCAATTAACTTTGAAGACGTGGTTTAAAATTTTAAATGCTGTTTTAACCTAAGTTAAATGGTAGACATTCGAGTCTTTACAGTTTTCGAATAAATAATTTACAGGAAACGCACAAACGACAAGAATGTCACATCTAATTTAATACGTATTGAAAGAAGGTTTTTGATGATTTCCTGACAAGTTTAACTTATTGAAAAATGTTAAAAACGTTTCTCGTTTATATTTTGATCGGAAAGAAATCAACAAAAATTTGCAACCAGGGAAGAAAACATTAACTAACACAATATATTGTATCTTATCTAATACCTAATGGTGCCAGTTACGCCTTGTGGCACGTTAATACGCAACTTCACATTGACAAAACGATGATCTACTAGAATGAGACAAGCAGGTGCATTTCTTCTCACAGCCAACTCAATCTATGCTTGTATCAAGAGAAAGAAAAAAAACCGCTTTGCAGGAAGTCATTTAGTCTCCCGAGCAGGATTTTTTTTCTCTGGCTTAGGAACCCACTTATTGCGACTAACAACCTAAATTTAAGGAAAAAAGTGCCCGAGCTACTATCCCGAGGTATGGAGAATTCGTTAACAGTCAATGACGTATCAATTTTCATTGCGCGCGCACGTAAATCTGTCATTTAGATGCAGATTGCTAGTTGAGTGGCTTTTGATGAAGTTGTGTGGAAGAGTATTTAGTAGACACAAAAATTGGCTATTTAGCGACAAAAATAAGATACCCGAGGCTATTCCTTTTACCTCCGGTGATTTCGGAAGGGAGTGACATTTTTTGGTAAAATTTAAATCGACAGTGTCACCACCATCTTTTCCTTTTTTGGATAGTCTACCTCATATATTTTAATTTCTGCTATATTATTATTGTTATTAATGCTTTTCTTTGGGAGTATTTGTGAGGGGCCGAGCCTAAACCGAACGAAATCGAGTCAAAAATGCAGAGTCGGAAAAGTGGATTTTTTGTCTTTGTCTTCCTAAAAAGAGATTTTTTTAGACTGCACCACCGTGAGGGTTGACAGGTCGTCCATCACATCATCACCGCACGGGTCCTCTGGATCCAAAGTAATGGCTAATGATCCGTGAGTTGCGGAAGAAGATACCTTGGACCGTTACTATCGATCAATAAAATGCAGACGGTCGCCGTCTCATCGTTCACCTGACGGAGGACGTACTTACCTAATTTGAAAGCCAGTTCGTTGACGAATTGTAACGCTTCTGAAAAATTCTTCTCTTCTCTTACGATCACTTCCACTTCTCCCGTTTGGAACCCGAAATCGGTTAGGTCCAAACACACGCGTGCATCTTTAATTTTGTAAGTCTTTCTCCGAGTCCGAATGACGGCGATAGGTTGACACTCCGATCGAACGAAATCTTGAACCTTCTCGAAACAGCGATCACCGAATTGGTTTAAAATGCTGATTATTTCGTTTTCCTTTTCCGTTTCGTAATATTTTGTTGTTGATCTGTCGCCGACTTTTTCGCACATTGGATATTTCATCTGCCATTTTCCGGATCTACTTCTCAACCATCGATCTTTTAATGTCAGTTTATAGTTCGAAGTATCATAATAGTGATCGGTAAATTCCTCCTCCTCTTCAAGATGGCCTCCTAGATCCTTTATCTTTTCTTCGCAATTGTTTGGTATTATAAACTTTCTTTCTATTTCTAATGTCCTGCTTCCATCTAATTTCTGTAATTCTTGCGTTTCAAAAGTCGTTAGATCTTCTTCTTGTTCCGGATTTATATCGGGTTCATCTTTCACAATGTCGACGATAACGAAATCATCATCGTCTACAATAAATTCGCTTTTTTCTTCCATCCACAATTTTCCTAGCTGAAAATAATTTTAAAATATTATATTATAATTTAGTTCACAGCCGGATCTATTTTAAATTCAAATATTAATGTTTAATCTACATTAAACAAAACTAAAAAAAAACTTTTGTTAAAACGGAATAATTAAAATTTTTGCATAATTAAACTATAAATAGTTACAAATTGTTAAGATTTTAGTTTAGAAAATAAGAGTTTAATGCTTATATAAACGTTTAACATAATCTTTAACTTTTACTTGGCAAAGTTTAAGATAATTTTTTTATTATTTCCAGAGACAAAATGTAGGTGACGGTAATGTTTTATGCATAAAAAATAACAATAATGGACTCCTATTTGTGGGAAGACAATTATTTCTTTGCTGACATTCGGTGCTTAAATAAGACTAGCGAATGGCATGTATCAAGCGACTAGGAAAAGGGAAAAAAGTAGAGAGAACGCTCAAATCTTGGGTATCATTTGTGGCCACGAACAATGATCTATCTGCTACCTCCTTGTTACGAAATCTCCTGCTCCAAGAGTAAATCTCATATGACGTAGGATTAGGGAAAAGGGACGCCTCCGATGCAAATAGCCACGTCATTAATTTTGTCCGTCAATCAGACCCATCCATAAAGAGGTTAGTGACAATGGAGGCTGGATGAAAAACTGCAAATGCTCTTCTTTGATAATATCGATTAGATTATTCTTGCGATTGTAACGATATAGTTACCGATTTGAATGTTCTTTCACGATTCTTACTATGATGTAACGATTTAAAATGTTCTATAAATTCCTCATTGTTTAACTGCTTACAAAACCACTATTTCGTCATAGGACACAATTAAATTTTCAATTATAACAAGTCTGGGCAACTGTGGCTTTATTTATGAGAAAATACGTCAATAAATTATCTAATAAAATTAATGTTTTATGACTCATCTAGAAAAAAAATCTGCATATTATAAATACTAAGGATTATAAAGACACCGCTGAGAAGATACTTGTTTAGATTTAACCAGTAAAAGGGCTGAATTCCACTTTGATAATAGATGCTTCGGGCAACAAAACGGCAAATGTAGTTTAAACGATTAAAAGATGTGTAATCAGAAGTGCTAGGACATCTGCAACAAAGGAATGACGTCAGGATGAGTGAAAAGTTGAGATTGCCGGAACCAGAAATTGAGAGTGGAGAAGCCGAGCCTGCGGGCATCACTGTTCCATATTAATGAGCACTTTAACCCATTGAGACCAGTCAATAACGTGCAACATAAGGCAGGAGAGGGGAAGGAGAGACGGCTGTTTGACAACAAATAAGGCATCTGCGACGTGTTCAATTGAGGGTACTAATGGCAGCATTATCTCTTTCCATGATGACATAATCTTTCGCCGTTTCGCATCAATCCCGCTACCAATTAAACACTACTACTGTACTCTAAACGCCTAAATATGCGTTTCTTCTCCAACAAGAATCATTTTTGGCAATAGCTGCCGGAATTTAATGCTGGCATTTACAATTTTGCGGTCAGAAACTAATAAATTACGTTAAAGCAGTGATGTAAGACAAAAGTTAAGAAACAATACTAATTTAACTTATTTTTCTCAGAAAGATTAAACAGAACAGTGGGACTTTTCCTCAGAAACAAACAGTCGTGCGGGAAAGCTAGATGGCTGGAAAAGACGACGATCACTGTGTAAACAGAAAGACACACGAAATGTCTCGACAACCTAACGACATAGACTAACACGACAGATAGATGATGAAGCGACAGAAAATATCGAGCTCTAACGACTATATATTTATAAATGTGTGTATGTGGGACAAGAAATTAAAATAACTTATAGAAAAATTAGCATTACATCAAAGACTCGATAACTATGTAAATACTGTATATTTCGCTTTTAAGCAAAAATAAAAAAGAATCAGCATTTATGCCTTTTAAAAAATTATCTTTTTTAAATGATGTTTACATCATTTTAAAAGATAATTACACATCAAAGAAACAGCCGGAGAGTAATGTGGAGATAAATTGGAGGAATCTTTCATAATTAAAGGAGTGTCAAATATTGATGAAGAACAGAAGAAGTTAATAGTAGTAGTGTATAAGGTCGACTTAGTCTTCAACAGAGCGGAATCTAAAAAGTTGCTATAGAATGACATTAGGCAGAAGAAGAGAGTTCCCCTATCCATTAAATATTTCATGGGGAGTTCTTATAGTCACCTGTAGTCGATTCCCGACAATGAAATTAAAGCTAATGCATCCCGTTTAACATTCTTATGCGGCAGAAAGATCTGTTTACTCCTCTCGTTTTTTACCCTCTTTTTTTTGTTGGTAACGATACCTTGGAGGTGAGGAAGATAAAATGAAACTAATCCGTTAAAACATCACCGAACAAAAGTATTCAAACCTCTCAGGATGATTACGGACAAGAAAACAAAAATAATTGAAGGAAGTAAAATAAAAGAAATAAGTATATTTCGACGAATAATTGAAATAAGAATTATTAAAGCTTTTCAATTAGAAGTGATACAACGAGTCGATCGACAGGAAAAACTCTGCACATTTGCAGGATACTGGTGAATAATGTTTTTAATTTATGGTCATAAAGCAATTCCTAACCGACATCGGAATGCACGAGAAAAGATCAAACAGTTATTTATTTATAATTCGGCAGGCCCTTTTGCTGTGTCCTTGTTAAAACCACAATAATGGACGGATGCGCTCTTGTCAATGAATTGTGTTCTCACGAAAGGAATCTATTGTCTTTTCTGCGATTCGATGCTTTCAATATTTCCCGTTGGTGTTTCTCTACGGTGCGTAACGATTGATCTACCGAGTTTTTTGTTTTCCCTTCCTTCCTCTTTTAAAAATCAACTTGAACTAAAGCGAAACATAATTGTAAATGGAACTTTTACAGTGTCATATTACAAGCAATTTTAATGACATGGAAATTTACTTTGGAATAATTAGCCGGCACATTTTTTTCCCTCCAGCCTTTTCTAATTTTTATTTACCTAATTACAAATTAGTCAGTCGTTTAAAAAGGAAACTAATTTGCAATCTTGTCACACAATTTCGTGCAGTCTCGTCGACCGTAACGCTTACGCAAAAGTGAATGGTCCAAGTCACGTGACCGAGTTTCTCTTTTCGTACGGATCGACGGGATCATTTTAGTTTGAACACGTAAAGCACCACAGGTGTAGCGGTAATATTAATTGTTCCCATTTTCCCAGAAAGCTTAAGCAGTCACAATTAAGCGGTCACGAGATGCTTTTCTCGTCTGTTGAGGGTGACCTATGCTTTTCTGACCTGGAAGTCTATACGTAGACTTTTCTAGGAACGCCAGTCTTACTGCCAACTGTTATGAATTATAGCCGTAATTACAGGAGCACGGAACGTCATGCAACATTCCCATTAGAGTGTTAATTAAGCATGAATGAGGCAAAAGACTGCCCGTAACGTCGATAGCACGCAACTTTTCTCTCTTCCCTCCCCGAATCCTAGTGTTGACAGTCAAAGTACACCTCGAAATGTCAAGGGGTCTTTTTTGTGCGGTTTTTAAATAAATTCCAGTATCTGGCTGCGAGTCTATAATCATAGAAAGCCAATATCATTTATGAGGAATGTACTCGGAATTAGAATGATGGTTTTCGTGGAAATCAATAAAAAAAAAGAGAGAGAGGAAAATTACGGCATTACTATATCGATACAATTTAAATTTCTATCTTACAGTATAATCATGCATTTTATGAGCAATTAGCAGATAATACGAAAAAAATAAAATCGAAAACTGCAGAATTTATATCGCATTTAGCCCACGTTTCAATTTGCAAATAGCAAATAAACGGCAAATCAATCAGAAATAAATCAATATAAAAATATTAATTATCGAAAGTTTATAAACCCGAATAAAGCTTGGGAATTACTTACAATAGACTTATATGAATTTCATACAGGTAAAAAATTACTGTGAATTTTTAAATGACACAATGAAATTATTAGTGGACGTTGTGTCTCACGATTTCATTTAAAAATACATTAATATAAATGCGCACGGAAAACACGAAAATAGGTTATAGAAAAATCAGAAAAATGCGAGTAATAAAATGTTATAATTTTAAATTAATAGTAACATTTGACATAAATTATAAACTTAGAATGCAAAATTCATAAATTTTACGGCGGTAGCGAAAGTATTTTTTGTTATCCGTCTACAATAATATATTGGCACTACCGATTAAATCTATATCATCAGTCGACTTTTGAACATCACATAAATAAAATTCTATTTTCCTTGTAAAACGTACGAACAAAACATGAAATTAAATTGGATTATAACTGTACTGTAGGAAATATATAAGCATAACGTGATACCATTACTCCATTATAAAGAATTTAGAAGAGAAAGAAGAAAAAAATCACGAAATCCTGTCTTGGCAACACGCAAATTCCAATTTCAAGAAACTAAAACATTTCGATATTCATATACAGTATTAGAAAACGTAAAGGGAATGTGGCTTTAAAGTAATTTCGACTATATTATTGAGATATTAATAATTTAAGAGCACCATTGGAAATTTTGTATAAACATTCGTGAGTAGTCGTCACCTGTTACAACATTTTAAAATTTCTTCTTCTTCTCGATACTTATAGTATTACTTCTATAATCTATCTTGCACGTCACGATATCATTCGCTGCGCATCGTGGAGTGGGAGAAATATTCAGTCGAAATCTCCCACCATTCATGCGGCCGAATGACCTCGTATTGGAAAGATTACCAGCTTGACCAAAAGTGTACCTACACATACACACTACATAATTGGCTTCCTGTTGTTTCCAAAGAAAACTACCATGGAGTTAAACCCTATACACTCGCATTTCTATAACATCCTTCCTCGTTCGGTCTCTCTATATAAACGTTTTTAGATAAGTGGTATTCATCACGCACCGGTCGAACTAATGTGAATATCACACGCAGCTGTTTATTTTCTTGAATCTCCATTGTTTGTGTAGGAGAAA